TGGGGAAGCTTGTCAGCACTGGAGAAAAAAACAGTGTGTCACTCACTGTACTTTGCGATAAACTGGATTAGGGAGTTGGTATGTTTTGAATCTTCTGGTTTTACTGACTAAACGCTTGAAATTATATGATATCTATATCTGAAATTGGTGGCATCATTGGCAGCTTAATGCTTTCAGCACACAAGTTGCGGCCAGAGTTGTTAATGTGTCACAAAGAGTAAGGGATGAGACAGCAGTTAAACTTTTGAAGCGTCTGAGAAATCTAATGTGAGTGTATTGCTTGAACAGTGATGAGAGTACCATATCTACTACACCTGGATAGATATTGCATGCTACTTGTACTGTATTCATCATCATTTATCAAAGAACCAACCTTTCACTAAATACTACTCCCTCCGTTCTTTTTTATAAGACGTTTTAGCCAGTCCGCTTTGAACTGTTTTGGGCGTGTCTGAAATGTGTAAAACATCTTATAAAGGAGAACAGGGGGGGTATTAATGGGGGATTGGATGGTGAATTTTTGTACCGTTTCTTTGAAATTTCTGATTCAAGCATGTCAGGCAAGTTTTTTCATCTGTGCTTGTCAATAAATATTTTTAAGTCTGAACAGAAACATTCTATTACAGTTTGCATTAGATGTTAGAGAGCTTAATAAAGAAAAAGGAACATGTATGACTTAAGATATGTCTAGGATTATCATGTCTAGTGCACCCTTCATAATATTATGACATGATTGCCAAATGCACCTGACTTCTTTTGTTGAAAAAAATGCAGATTACTCGAGATTTTGTTAAACACCCTTCTTAAAATTTATCCTCTATCTCTACCTGAGCTGCGATATCTTGGGAATTATTCTGGGTCAACTAGCAGCAGCAAGTTCAACACTGGGAAGAAAATGGAGGAAGACAACATGGAGGGCCCATCTTCCAACAAAAGACAAAAGGGCCGCAAGGACAAAGCAGCTTCAGATAAATTGAATTCTGATGAGAAGCTCAAGCAATCTACGATACTGGATGCTTTCAAAAGAGCAGGTGTAACGATCACCCAAGAAACAAAGAAAGCATCTTCACGACCATTGCCAAGTGGAATGACGTCGAAGGATGTTGAAAGCGAGGCTAATAATCCTGGTGAGCTTGGGCATATAGATTTGATGGCAGCACCAGTTCAGCTGGATATGCAAAGATTTAAATTCAGAACACTCCATGTGAATTGTTTATCCTTATTAAAGTATTCAGAGGTATGCATTTGTTCAGTTTGACTTAATTCTTTGATTCTTTTAAAGTTTTATGGTCAAGTTCTCATTTATTTATTTTACAGTTTCAAGATTCAACTTATCCATATCATGAATCTGAGGTATTTGATTTCAACAACATAATATATAGCTACTAAAGTATGGTGTCATTATTGAGATTTTTCTGTTTTCGTTATTCAGCTGCCTTTATATCTCTATCTTCTACGTGATCTAAACAACAAACTAGATCATGTAAACCCATCAAGCAAGCCATTTTTTAATAATTCTCAAGCAAAATCCACTCGCGCTCATTGCCAAAAGAGCACAGAAGATCTTAGCAAAATCCAGCCACTATTCTCGAGTCTACGGAAGCATCTAGATGGATCAATTTCAATGATGAAAGACAGTAAGCTTTGATTATCCTTTTCTGCTTCTAGTTCCTTCTATCGTGAATAGTATGAATTTTTTACAATACTACAATGCATTGTACTGCTGTACCCCTCCTTTCCTTTGCTTTGATCAATAACACAATGGGGCACTACTATTGCTATGTAGGATCAGATAGCAGCCCAGACAACTGGAGTTCACATTCGGATTCAGCAGGAAACCCGCACATACCATACGTGATGGTCTCCAAGTCTTCAATAGCCACTTCCGTATTTAAGGAGGTTCTTGGCTGCTACAGGAAGGTTGTAGCATGGATATCTTTTTCTTACTTCTGATAGTAAAGATGACTCAAATTGTAGCATTAACATAATATGGCACCTTTTGCAGCTACTTGGCACGCCAGATCTATTGAATCAAGCAAATATGTCAGCTCTGAAGGAGCTGCTACAGACTTTCCAGCCAACTGAAAATTTTGATGATGATCTTTCTGAGTTCCGTCCACCTCTGGTCCCTAGTAATGTTGATTATCTGTACTGTGGGGCATTTAAAATGTTTGAGGCTATTATGGATGCAGGTAATCAGCAGTTGCAATCTGTGCCAACTGCCAAAGTGATTCTCCATGTCTTACTGCAGTGTGACCTTTTTCCTAATCTCAATACCATGTCTTACTGCAGTGTGTTTGTTCTCACACATTTTGGCCTCTGACGTGCTAATTACCATGCAATCTATTTTAAATTCCATCATCATGCTGTTGGAAAAATATGGGGAATCAAATGGGAAGAATATGCATGTAGGATGCTCCAAAGAGATTATTCCCTTTGTAAAGAAGCAGCTTAGGTTATCAGCTCATAAGCTGCTAACTTCTGATTTCCCTAATGAAGATACTGAAAATGGATGGCAGAGTAAAGTAAGCTAAAACACTTTTTAACATATAAATGTGCAATGCCTATAAGCATGCACGACTAATTCCTAAGAGGCTAACAAGTTCCATGTTTATTGCTTGTCAGGGTGATCTTATACCAAGGATATTACAAATATACCTCAGGAATAGTGAGTCGACTTCAGTTCTGCTTGATGAGCTGGCTTGCTCGGTGTTGCCTCAGGTGGTCCATCTCGATTTGTTGGGTCATGTTATCAGAGTCGATATCAGTTGGGTTGTTGTTCTTTTCGCCTTGGAACACTCATTTTTAGAATTTTATTCCATCATTGAAGGTAGCTTCGCTCAAAAGTAAAAGTACTACCCAAGAACTGTCGCATGGGTTTCCAACATTGTGTTCTTCCACCTTCCACTCCTGGTACCGTGTGCTGGTAAGTATCTGATGTCCAGAGCATTTTCAAATATCCGATATTTATTTGTTTTCTCTTGTATTTTTTGGGTTACTAATGCAGCATGAGGAGAATCTTGGGAATTTTAACAAGATGGTAAGTTGTTTAGTTACACATATTACACTTAGCTAATATTTACTCTACTGTCAGCACTATGTTACATTGCTGTCTCTAAACATATTAAAAAGTATCCCTTAATGTTTGAGCAATTTCTTCCCTCTTCTCCAGGTCAAGCAAGCCTTGAAGACTACATCACAATCAGGAGTAGCAGTGGAAAACGTTATGGATGATATTTTCAAATCAGTAAAAGTGTTTGTTTCTCTGACAAATATATGTAAGATTCACGAGAAGGTAAGTTGCAATGAAGTCACTCGTGTAGAGATACTAATATAATTGATCACCTGATGCAATGGAAATGGTGTACTGTGATGTATGAGACTGCTGGTTGAAAATGATGCATCTCACATCGAATCACAAAATATAGGTTGCTATGCATGCAATGGCAGTTAAATATGGGGGGCGATTCATTGATGCATTTCTTAAAGGTGAGAATCTGTGAATTGATAAGCTTTCATATACTTTCATTAGGTGTATTCTTATTGCTGCCTTTGAGTGAAAACATGTTCAGTTTAACGCTCCTTTTTATTTTTGCTGCAGCCTTCAACTTTCTAGAGACGCAATTTGGGCAACATGGCGGCGATATAGTTAAAATGGTAAATAACTGTAAATGTTACTCCCTCTGTAAAGAAATATAAGAACGTTCAGATCACTACTTTAGTGATCTAAACACTCTTATATTTCTTTACGGAGGGAGTATTTGTTATTTACTTCTTTTAGCCCCACTCAATAGCTGCCTTTTGTCCTGCCAAATTACAGTGGCTGTTTACTGTTAGTACTGACAAGTAAAACTTATGCAGATAAAAGAACTTCAGAAAGCAACAAGAATAATCCAAACTATATGTGCAGAGGCAAAGGTAGAATTGGTAGCCTTTTAATTCTCACCAGGCACAATCGATAATATTTGATCATCGATGTTCATACCATAAATTATGTGTTCCATGCTTAGAAAAGTATTTCGATCTTGTTTAGGGTTACAAGCGAACAATGATCACGAGCAAGATACCTGCCACAAAGAGATCCATGGAGCGGTTTCTCTTCCAAGTGAAGGCCCTCCTGGAACACTGCTCTAATGTGGAGCGTTGCTGGATTGGTAAACATTGATCTGATTTGCAATTTCTTCACAACTATGCCTAGCTATACACAGACTGCAGTTAGCTAGTTAGTATACTACTCCCTCCGTCCCAAAATAAGTGACTCAACTTTGTACTAACTTTGTACTAAACTTAGTACAAAGTTGAGTCACTTATTTTGAGACGGAGGGAGTACAACACTATCAGCCATATCTCATTTGGATCTACGATTTTCAGCAATGCCAACTACTTTTCTCCATTTTTGATAGGTAATCTGAAGCACAAGGATTTGCATGGGCATGTGGTAAGCTCTCAGGTGTACGGCGACGTGGATGGCGACCCAAATGATGCAGAACAAGAACAGATGGAGACTGATCCTGAAACTCCAGCCGACGAAAATGACAACATCGTGGATGATGATGAGACAGAAAACGAGGCAACACCATTGGATGATTGACCTCACACACGGTACCAATCTCGAAATGTTTCCAATGTAATCATATATATTGTCCCACAGATTTTATTCTTGACATGTATGTACAGTACATTGCAATGCACACCGTGCTCGCATGACATACTGAAATGCCAATTCAGAAATGTAGATCAAGGTATCATCTGCTTTGCATAGAAATCTGGAAGTCTCAATCAGGAATTCAGGATCGCATATACAGGGCATCCTATATACAGATCACCACCATATCTCATTTCATAACATGTCATAACATAAAGCAAGTTCTTGTCACATACTGTAATAACAAAAGCCACAAGAACCAAACACGCAAACTCATAGATAGACAAACATGGCTGGAGTAAGGATGAAAGGAAGCCTAGCACTGGTGCACTGACGACGCTGAGCAAGAAACGCATCAGATGGCCTTGGCTGGCGCGGCGGCGGAGGCAGAGAGGTCGGCGAGTAGCGGCTCCCTAGTGGGTGGCGCGGTGGAGTTGGCTGCGGGGGAGTCGTCGGGGTCGTAGTTGGGGTCGAGGGCACGGTCCATGGCGCGGCGGCCGGTCTCGAGGCAGGGCTTGCAGGCCATCTCGATGGTGATCCAGCCCAGCACCACCGCAGCGATCGCGATCACCGCGGTCACCACCGCCCCCATCGGATCACAACCCTCCCTTGTGCGACTCGCTTGCCAAACGCGGATCTGGAGGTTGAAGATGACTGACCAAGCAAGGAATGGTATGGTTACGACAGTTATTAGCCGGCTTGGTTGTCGGACTGGACGAGGATTCTGCCGGCTCGCCGAAGCTTGTGCGGATGGGCTCGCTCGTCTGGACCTGGATTTCTAGTGTACTACTGTACTGGGCCGCTTATTTAAGCTGGGCCGTGGTATTTCTTGTTTGATAGGTTTGTCTAAAAAAAAAGGTGGTCGTGAAAGAAATCGATCTGGGGTGGAGCGCCGGAAATTGCTGTGCGAAATCACTAATTGAGAAAGTACTTTCATAAAAATCACTTCCACCTTTTTAAGTCGGGACAAGACTCTTTTTTCCTAGATCCATTTATTCAAAACGATTTATCTCTTAACCCGTGCGTTCAAATCTCGAACCATTTTCACCGTTAGATTCCTTACGTTCAGATCTTTAAAACTAGATTCATGCTGATAGGTTTTGATAAACTTTTTTTCATGAAAAAACCGAGCAAAAATACCGGACTTGGAGCATGTTTTCCTTTTCTTTTTCAAAAGCCGCTGCCTCTCGCGGAAGTAAGATCGTGCCTCTCATGGAAAAAAGAAAGAAGAGAAAACACATTTTTTTTTTGTTTTTGAGAGGTTTTGAGATGCATGACCGTGCCTCTCGTGGAAGCAAAACCATGCCTCTCGCAGAAGCAAAATCGTGCCTCTCATGGAAGGAAAAAAAGATAAAACATGTTTTTTCCGTTTCCGAGAGGCATGGCCGTGCCTCTCGCGGAAGCAAAACCATACCTCTCGTGGAAGCAAAACCATGCATCTCATGAAAAAAAAGAGAAAACACATTTTTTTTGTTTCTGAGAGGCACAACCGTGCCTCTCGCAGAAGCAAAACCGTGCTTCTCGTAAAAAAACGTGTTTTTTCCGTTTTCAAGAGGCACAGCCGTGCTTCTCGCAGAAGCAAAGCCATACCTCTCGTGGAAGCAAAAGTGTACCTCTAGCACAAGAAAAAAGAAGAGAAAACGTGTTTTTTTCCGTTTTCGAGAGGCACATCCGTACCTCCCACGGAAGCAAAATCTTGCCCCTTGCAAAAGCAAAACTGCGCCTCTCGCAAAAAAAGTTTTCTTTTTTTCGCGTAATTGTTTTTAGTTTTTTCTTCTTCCAAAAGCTAAGGAAGACGAATGAAAAACCAAGAAGCCAAAGAAACCATCTAAAAAGCCAGAAACACATGTCGAAAATCAAAAAAACGAAATCCGAAAGAAGCGTCCAGAGCGGGAGAAGCGGCGGCAGCTGTGAGCACACCAAGTGGCGCGCTCTCAGCCCATCCCCAAGTGACCTTTGGGAAGGCTGGGAACTAGCGCTCTTTAGGTTTTTTTAGGGGACGTGCGCTCTTTGGTTAGTTGCTACGCACATTGTGTCAAGTTGTCGAGGCTTCAGTCAGGCTTCACGAGGGTACGACGCAATCTGGGCCGGTCCGTTAATGGTTGCGGCGATCCAGGTTTAGGGAACCTTTTAGGAGGTTCCTAAACCTTTTTTGTTTCTTTTGATATTTTTTATTTCTTTTTTTGTTGTTTTTCTCTCCTTTTCCCTCTTTCTTATTTCTTTTTCTTTAAATATTCGTTTTATTTTTTCTTTATCCAATTGTTTATTTATATGTTCGTGTTAACAAATATTATTTGCAAATGTTTAAATAAATTCGTGTTTCCAAAAATCGTTCATGTTTTCAAATTCATACTGGAGTATCAAAAATTGTTCATGTTTCCAAAAATTGTTTGCTAATTAAAAAAATGTTCGTGTTTTCAATTTTATTTGGGGGAGTTTAAAAAATGTGCATGTTTCCAAAAATTGTTCATGTCTTCTAATTTTGTTAATAGTTTCAGAAAAGTTCGAATTTATAAAAATATATTCAAAAAAAATCCTATTTTAGAAATGTTTGAGTTTTTTCAAAATTTGTTCACAAATTTTGAAAACTGTACGCATTTCGTAAAACATTCATTTTTTGGAAAGAAAATCAGATTTTTTGTATAAATGTGAACAAAAAATGTTCGTGTTTTCGTAATCTGTTAGCAAATTAAAATAAACGTTCGTGTTTTCAAAAATTATTTGGGAGATTTTAGAAAATGTTTATGTTTGCAAAAAAATATGCTCGTTTTTCTTAAATTTGTTCACAAATTCAAACAATGGTTGTAAATTTCCAAAAAATGTTTGTGCTAACATTTATTCAGAAATACCCAAGATGATCATGTATTCAAAAAAGTTCCCAAATTCAGAAAATTGTTCAAATTTGCAAATTTGGTTATAAGTTACAAAACTTCCCTATTTAAAAAAAATGTTGATTTTTTGGAAAATTGTTCACATTTTCAAATTTTGTTCAAAATTTCAACCTTCTTCACAGATTCAAAATTGTTCGATGTTTTCACAAAATATTGAGTTTTCTAAATTTTTGTTCGCGGATTTGAATGGTGTTTGAGTTTCTAAAAATATTCCCTTCTTGAAAATCTGTTTCTGTTCGTAATTTCAAATGTTTCAGGTTTGCCGCTACGGTTAGTTCTTAGAGCCTCGCGCTGATAAATAGTCAAGAACATACATTGGCTCCCGTGGCTAGCAACACTCGCACATGAACATGAGATCCTACGATCGAATCCAGGCCAACACATTATTTTTTTTTACGGATTTTAGCGCTGTAGTGTCGAAGCTGGTGTAGTAGTAGCCTGCTCGCGGCAACCTCTAATGGGCCAGCCCAGTCGCGCTCGCCCTTGTGCGTCGCGGCTCAGTTTGAGGCAAAATGCATCAAATAGGAGGCCCCTCGAGCGCCCCGTACGGCAATGGTCCGACACACCACATGAGCGAGTCAAAATTATCCTGGCTGCTTAGGACCATATAGATGCATTTAGAGCAACTCTAGCAGAACACGCAGATCCATAAAATTTCGACGAGTATACGGGTTCGGCCTAATTTTCCAGCCAAAACAGAGCACGCATATTCGTCCGGCCCGCAAAAAAATTTGCCGCGGCCCGCACACCGCACGCCCCGACCGCTATATCTATGGTTCCGCGGCTTGTTTGCGGGTCGAAACCCTATCCTCCGCCGTCGTCGAGCCACGCAATTCCCCACCCCCTTCTTCATATTTCTCGCCGCCGCCGACCATCTCCGTGACTCCAACCGCCATGTGGGGCCGCATGTGAAGCTCCGGCAGCACATTATTTTTTTTACGGATTTTAGCGCTATAGTGTCCAAGCTGGTGTAGTAGTAGCCTGCTCGTGGCAACCTCTAATGGGCCAGCCCAGTCGCGCTCGCCCTTGTACGTCGCGGCTGAGTTTGAGGCAAAATGCATCAAATAGGAGGCCCCTCGAGCGCCCCGTACGGCAATGGTCCGACACACCACATGAGCGAGTCAAAAATTGTCCCGGCTGCTTAGGACCATATAGATGCACTTAGAGCAAATCTAGCAGACCCCGCAGAACACGCAGACCCATAAAATTCCGGCGAGTATATGGGCTCGGCCTAATTTTCCAGCCAAAACAGAGCCCGCATATTCGCCCGGCCCGCAAAAAAAATTGCCGTGGCCCGCAAACCGCACGCCCCGACCACTATATCTATGGTTCGGCGGCTTGTTTGCGGGTCGAAACCCTATCCCCCGCCGCCGTCGAGCCACGCGATTCCCCACCCCCTTCTCCATATTTCTCGCCACCGGCGACCACCTCCGTGCCTCCAGCCGCCATGTGGGGCCGCATGTGGAGCTCCGGCAGCAGATCCGGCGGCGGACGCGACCCGGAGCACGAGCGGCGTGTCCGGTCGGATGACGCGAGGAAGCGCGGGGTCCGGAAGTGGACCAACCGCGGCCTGTCGCCACCGGCGAGCTTCCAGCGGAGTGACACGGAGGAGTACAACCGCCGGCGCGCGTCCTTCTCCTCCATGAGATCTTCGTACGCCAGGAGCTCATCCTCCTCCGGCACAGGCCTTCTCCCTGTGAAGAGGGAGTGGTCGGAGGACGAGGAGGAGCCGGAGGAGCCGGACGAGTTCGACTTCGTCCCCGTCAAGGAGGAGCCCGAGAAGCCCGCTCCACTCGGCCGCCGCGAAGTCATCAGGCCGGAAGACTACGTCGCCGACGTCGACGCCGTTGGGCCGCCATCGTCGAGCGGAGCGTGCGCGAGGAGGCGGAGCGCCGGTGCCACGCCGAAGAGCTCGAAGCCCTCCAGTGGCGGGATGCAGTCGCTGCCAACCTCGCCGCCAAGGAGAAGGAGGATGAGTGGCGCCGCATCCGCGAGGAGCAGAGGGCGAAGTACATCGACCTCTGCAGCTCCGGCGAGGAGGATTGAGCGTCCTTCTCCTCCACGGCGTTGTCCATTTGCCGTGACCTCATCGCCGTCAGATCCGACCCCCCTCTAGTACTAGTTAACATAGTATGTAGTATGAACTATGCTTGTAGTTTGTTGATCATGTAAAATCTATGTAGTATGTGATGAACTATGTTTGTGCAATTTCTCTCGCGAAAATGTTTTTTCAAATTATGCAGGTTTAGGTACGGTTTCTATTCGGCCGCGCTAGTTTTCGACCCGCAAACGCGATTTTCGTGAAACCGCAAACGCATTTTGCGGGTCAAGTTTTTGCGGGGTCTGCTAGAGTTCTCTTACAAACTTCTGGGATCCAAATATGCAATTTCAAAGTTTTGGGAGTAACTTGACCCACCTCGAATATTTTTAGGACATTCGGTGCATTTTACTCTTACAGATAATATCATATGTGCATGTGAGTGCTTATTTGCATGTGAAAGTTCTCTTATAGTAATCATTCATGAATCACTTGTATTACCAATATTGTGATTGTCAAGCTTCAAAAGATTTCACTTTCTAAACCCAATGTGAAGCTACCACTAGGCATGATATGAACATATAATTTCAACCTCATTACATTCAATTTATTCAACAATTTACTCATAGGATATAAGTGAAGCATGAGAATAAATGACAAACT